GTCACACTATATTGGAATTACCGGCCATTTGTCATTTTCTGTACCTAATTGAGAAAGCCACTGCGAACTCGTTGGCCCTTACGTAAGCCCTAATAGATCTATGTCTTATATAATGACGCATATTAGAAAAACCCCTGTCATTGCATTGCAGTTGCAACATCACAGGATCAGACTTAGAATTCTCACTCATCATCCTTTGAAGGAAGAATGGGTAAGTGCAGAAATAACAACCATATTCAAGGCAGAGATATCTGCCATTTTAATAGTGGCATACTTCGAGGAAATCCAGCTGTGCACCAAGCGGGCCGTTTTCATATGCACAGAAGGCACCCCGAGGACACGGTCACCATTAGTTCAGGAATGTATTACTGCCCTTCAGAGCTTAGCCCAATATAAAGAAGTGACCCTGCTCTGGTTCCCCGGACACAGTTGAGTGCCGGGTAACAAGAAAGCTGAGAACCCGAAGCACCTGCATCGGTCTCAAGGCTCGGCTGGGCATAAGCCAGAGCCATGTTATCACTGCTCAGAAAGAGTAGGAATCTTGGAAGTGCTGGCTACTGGACAGCGGTAGAGAGATGAGGGTTCTCAACGGCCACTGCAGACTTAATAGACACTTATTCCTTTTAAGGGTGGAGTCAGATCAAACCTGCGTCATGTATTGGGCGACACGGCATTCTACTTTCTGTGATATTGCCCCGTGTATTGCGGTCTAAGGGTGAAAACAATTTTTTTTTCTTAGTTGACACTGTAAACCTAAAACCGTATGTTCGCCCGTAGCCCAAAGATTAGCATATGGTGAGATAAGCTCATCAGTCAACCAAGATGCTTCAAAAGACACAAGATAAAAAGACAATTTGTTTACGCAGTTTTAACCAATGTTTGTTACATGGTTTTGCAGTACCGCTGACGGTACGCTATCGCTATTTCTCTTAACATCAATTGCTTTGACAACACATGAGGAGAATGCCAATACCACTTTGGAGTAGAATTAATAACAAACCTTCTTTAATCTTGCATAAAGTTGCTTAAAGAATAATCAGGTTTCAAAGTCGAATTTCTTTCTGTCCCATTAAAAAATCCTGGCCGATACAGGCACTGTTATTATTAATTCTAGCACTGACCCATAATAGAAAGTCTCCGTGCTAATGGCCTCCTTTCCTGGCCAGTAATTAATTTAGTCTATAGTTTCAGAAGTGAAATATCGTATTTAGGTACTATCACTGCAGTGGAAAATAATATGTAGACTACAGTATATTCAGATAAGAGATAGACCGGACATAAACAAGTCCACGTGATCATCGAACGCTGTAACATTCGGCAGGGACGTATTAAGAGTCACGCAGTACATATTTTAGATAGTAGATGCTGCTTTGCGTAACTTTGTAGTAAATTAGCACAATTCGATGTGTATACGATTGGTGATGGATATAGGATCATGTGGGGGTGGGGTAAGAAATATATAATGATGTAAATATACATAAGGGTTTCAAAATTTTCGCTTCGATTTCCAGCTTCGGATGCCGCCTGATGTTTGGTGAAATACAGTCGAATATAATCTCAAAATGGCGTTTAAATTAGCCTAAATTAAAAATAATCGTATATCTCTTAAAATTGCTTTTAGAATATTGATTAGTATATTTTTTGATTTCTAGGTAAATATGTAACCAAATTAAAACGTTCAAAACGTAAAAAAATGTGCATGGTTGAACATTGTCAGAAAGTAGATTCTTGAATAGGTTTTGCCAAAATGGGTTCAAAAATGTCAATAATTAATTAAAAAATACAGTAGCTTTATAATTACTTATAACTTACCGAATTTGATGAACGACATCTTTTATTGGAAAGATGAGCTTGATGAGCTTTCATCATCGCTACTGCCTGAAGCACCAACGTCAATAATGAATGGCTCGACTTGTTCCTCTAAAATATTGTCCAGTTCCCACATTCTGTTTTCAACTTTGTCTTTCACGTGCTTAATACAGTTTTCCCATTTTTGCGCTGTTATTAATTCTAGTGCTTCTTTGAAAAGTCCTTTGAGGTCACAAAATTTAAAAGTTGTATTGTGCTTAGCTATATAATTTAGCTATATAATTTTAACCTCTGCCCATATGAGCTCAATGGGATTGAGCTCGCAATGGTATGGAGGTAAACGGAGCACAGTTTTATGTTGACTTGCTGCCATTTCGTCAATGGCGTATTTTTGATATTCCGCCTTGTATCCTTGACAATTCTTAATAATTGTACTTTCAGAATTGCTTCTTCAAAGTTGATATTTTTCGAGCGGAGCCAATTTTGAACATCAACTTTCCTTGAAGCCGTTGTTGGGACCTTCTCCATTCTTCGAGAATGATAAAGCGCATTATCCAACACAATTACTGCGTTTTCCTCTAAGTTCGGTAAAATTTTTGAAAACCACTGTTCAAACGATTCGCCATTCATTTCCTCGTGGTAATCTCCAGTTTTCTTAGACTCAAAGCACCACAGACCGTCAACAACAAATCCATCCTCACTGCCAATATGGCAGATAATGAGCCTTTTCCCTTTACCTGGAAATCGAAGTACTAACTGGTGTAGATTTATTTCAATAAGCGAACCTTTTTCAAATGTTTTCATCACATTCAGCGAAAAAACATTGAGACATCAGTATCAGATTGCTATAATTGGGATTATTTAGTCATATTGAAAGAAAGAATATTGAACGTCGTATGATTACTCAGCGCTTCACAATTTAATTTAAAGTTATAAACCTTTAAAAAATGAATGATCAGGAACCTGAAATACGAGCAAATATTAATATTAACAAATTATAACTTTATAAAGCTTAAAGTATGAATTAAAATGATTAGAAATATTAGGAACGGTACACAATATAAAACTTAGTAACTTTTTTTAAGTTTATAATATTCGACATATTTTAAGATTATATTAAAAAATTATTGAAATATCGAAAACACATAAAAACATGGCTTAAAAAAGTTCTAACAAATGAAAATGACAATAAAACATCCACGTATTTTATCGAAAGTTATAAAAGTTTTGTTACTTGTAATATGTTTTATCTGCCCGCTAGAATTAATGTTTATAACCTTGTTCCCAAGGTTTGAAAAACATCCGATTGTTGTCTATTACTCGTATTTACCTGCTGGATTTTTTAATCCGGTGGACAGTCCATCTAGAAAGGCCCTCCTGGATGAAGTTACAGAATCATCAACCCATACTTTACTTGTAGTGTGTTCTGCGTTTACCCACGTTTCATCAAGGTAATAAATCTTCCTGTTTTGATTTCTATATTTCCCAATTTTTGTTAAATAATCCCTCCTCCATAGCACAATTTCTTCTCTATCCAGTAGTAATCTATTACGACCCCGTTTTTTCCATTTGAAATTTAAATGCTTCAGTAACGCATGGAAAGTTGATCGTTTGAAATTCGGCAACGTTGTATCTCCATTTACCTCCTGCAGTACTTTATCTATAGTAGGTATTTTATTCCTAAAGAAGAATTCATGCACTTTCCTCCTAATCGCATGCTTATCAGCTTCATCCAATGATTTAACAATACTTTTCCGATGTTTACTGGTCATTGGCTCAGAAAAGGTGTGATTTTTTTTGTATTGTCTTAACACATTAAACACTGATGCGCGACACACCCCAACTTTGTGAGAAACCTTCACAACAATTTCTTTGATGGTTGATGCCTCGTTCTCCTTGCGCTCTATCTTATATATATTCAAAATGACCTCTTGCATTTCTGCACCCAGGTGTCTTTTTTTAGAGCGTTTCCTAGGTGGACTACAGGAGTTTACAACTTCATCGGCAGTATCTGTACTACTGGGCATTTTGCGCAAGCAGTTGATAACAATAACAATCAATAACAAGGTATAACAATAACAACGACAAACTCAACAACTTAATAAGATAACAAACGAAAACGTCCAAAGAAATATCAAATTGCAATGATGCACACGACATACGTAACACGTCTGAACCTGAATGTGACTCTGCCTTGATACGATTGCTCTGCCGCTCGGCATAGGCATTTAATTGCGAATTGACCAATGAGGGCTCCTGTTTTACGTCGAGACGGCGGCGTTAGCGTGAAAATCACCCGAACCTTTTGTTTACATCCGGTCTATCTCTTATCTGAATATTCTGTAGCTACGACTATCCTTTCCATTTAATAATATAAGTAATTTTGAAGACCTGTGACACCAGATAATACGACAGTGAATTCTAAAATCAGTCGACTTCAAGAATACTTTTTGATATTATTTTGGCACCCCATATAAAATCATAAAAGATTGGAGGAGATTAAAAATAAATAGGGGCTTCCTAAAACAAAAATACGTTTTCATAATCAACTGGATTGCATCTATATTGTATTGTTCAAAATTGTGGTTAAGCTTACGCAAATTCTATCGATCGACCTTTTTTATCGCAAAAATAGCTTCATCAAGCAAAATGATAAACTTTAGTATTTTTATACGAGCAGCGAATCCGATTTTGACTAATTGCTCCAAAAATATACGACGCTGGCACGTTTCTGTATACCGAAAATAACAGAGAAAGCTCAAAGATGGAATATTAAAGCCATGATACATACGTTTATTAATATAAGACAAACATCTACAGGATACATAGTAAAGCAAATTCTCACTACTAATCCGAATAATCACCATTATTGAGTCTAATCACTAGCGTGATCCTTGTATTCATGAAATTGCCTTCGTATGAACGAGGTATCGTGGGCGACGTCCAATATCATATTTTATTCTAAAATGGATGATTTGAATTCAGTACTCGCCCGCCAATTTGCAACTTTGTCTATTTGCCGATTTTCCACGAGTACGGAAAACTGTACGCGACGAAGGTTTACGCCAAAAATATCTTAATATCACGCATATCAAGCAGCGATGTGGTAACTTTGATACGCTTTGTGAGAAAATAGATGCATTCTCACGGAGTTTGGCACGCAAGCGTGATCGTCTAATTCGTGAAATTACCTTCGCCTGAACGAGGTGTCGTCAGTTTGCCTGACGTCTTCGGGAGAGAGCCAAGTCCACAGCCGCTCACGCTCGGTATCAAACACGTTTGATACTTGGGCGTGGACACGCTAGCCGAGAACGCACACCACGTGATTTTCGATAGTCAAGATTTCTCGTACGATTGTTTGTCTGTTCACGTTAGTCTCTCAACCTTTTCGCTAACATATCACTAAAAACAAAACTCAAATCTGCACAACTTTAAGTCTGAAGGTCCTACATGTTCTGTTTCAAGGAATGAACTGAATCGTGACCGTGTGTCACTCCACAACCCTCGCCGTTTCACTTTTCAGTGCTAAATCAAGCCAAGACCCACGGATGAAGCTGCAGACTGTAGTGGGAATTTTGGCTCAGAAAGTATCTCAAATTTCAAGTTGTTCGCATCTATGAAATTTATGCATCTAAGTTTTTTAGGATATATATGTTTTTTCAAGTTTCAACATTTTCCAGTTTATCTTAGTACTTGATTATTTCTCTTCCTACGCCACTGAAAATGATATATTTTGTTTTTTGGATGTTATATGACATCTAGATCACGAAAAACCATTTGATGATTCCCGTCGGTATGTCTGTCCGCTAATCATCTTCTTAATCTTTAATTCGGGATGTACTGCTCGGATTTTGATGAAGTCTTCAGACAAAGTTACATTATGCCAAAGATGAATAATCTGTGTAGCTTTTAAAAATCGGTCCAGTGGCGGCCGAGAAAAAGGCCAAAAACGAAAAAAAATAAAAAACGTTCTTCCTTTCCGAGGATTCTGATCATTTTCAGTAAACTTTTTGCAGGGGTTAAAAATTGGATGATGGAGGTTTTAGGGGTGGGGGAATGTCAATTTTCTCATACTAGACATTTATACCTTTCCAACCCCGGTAATTCTACACACCTATTAGACATATTTCATATCTAGGTCTTTCGTACGTTTATTTGCCTTTAAAACTTGAATGATAGTGATGTCAGCGGCAACTGGTAGTCACAAGCACATATCTCTCCCCCTAATTTCCCATTAGTTTATGGGCATATGTCAATATTGTCTGTAAACCTGAAATCGACTCGTACAAGAAATGCGAAATGCGATGGATTTTGCCTCTGAAGAAATGGTAAGCAAATAAGCAAGTAGGTGCCTGGAAGGTTCAAAAACCTTGGTACGAATAGTAAATTATGCCCCGGTAATTGCATTACATCTTATGCACGACAGATATCCTAGGTTGAAATGGTCATATGACATCAATATCAATTTTTGTATATAGTGAAATCGCATCTCTCACAACTCAAAATGGAAAGTTAAGTATAGGCTTTCAACTCGAACAATCGTAATTTTTTATATTATACCTTTGCGCGGACATAGTTCAAAAAATCATGGGGATGGTACGTCCGAATTTCGTGATTACGATTTCTTTGAACTCTTGGATTGCTAACATATAGAAGTCGCTAACTTGACAATGCTTAAGTCTTTTATTCTCACTTTTGATACGCTTTTTTACAGAATCTTCGAGTGATGCACCATAAAATGCATTGGTGAAAGTGTCATTTTCCCCCCTTTTTGTGTTTTTCCGAGGGAATATACAGGGTGTTCCTTAATGATATGCGAATATTTAAGGGTGTCAATCTAAATAAAAAATTAATGTTAGTTTGCTCTATAAACTATGATCCAAAAATGTTTCCTTACAAAAACTCGGGGTGTTGAAGATTTAGGAAAAAAAATGGAGATTAATTAATATTCTCAGAACCGCTTCAGATATTTCACTGATATTTAGTACGTAGTGAAAGTTAATAAAGTTGCATATTCTTCAATGCAAAAATGTTTTTTAGCTTTAATAGTGACGTGCATACGGGTATTGACTTCGATATTTTTTGAGAAAAAAATGGTACGCCAACGTTTTTTTGCCCAATAGGAAAATAGAACGGTTTTTATTTTTTTACACAAAAATGGCGCATCGAAGGAAAACAGTTCAAGATAGATTCTTTGTTTTAAGTTGAACGGGGAATTCAAAAATAATTTTTATTGGGCAAAAAACCATTGGCGTACCATTTTTTTCACAAAAAATATCGAAGTCAATACCATTGAAAAATATGCAGCTTTATTAACTTTCACTACGTACTAAATATCAGTGAAATATCTGAAGCGGTTTTGTAAATATTAATCAATTTCCATTTTTTTCCTAAAACTTCAACACCCCGAGTTTTTGTAAGGAAACACTTTTGGACCATAGTTTATCAAGCAAACTAACATTAATTTTTCATGTAGATTCACACCTTTAAATATTCGCATATCATTAAGAAACACCCTGTGTACTTTTATAATGTCTTTCTCTTTCATATTGTAGTGTAGAGTTTCCGAATTGGTTGATTTCAAAAATGTGGTAAAAATGTTGTTCAACCCATAAAAAGCTCAGTTATTGTGCTTTTTCGAAAAAGAAACACGTAAGATTTTAATTTTTACAGCAGGACTTTTTTCATTTTTTTAAGTGGTGCGACTCAAAAAATATTGGAGGAGAGTCGAAATAAAATTCCATTTGTCCCGCTGGGAAACTGAAACAATTTCCGAAAACTAGAAAGCTTTTCGTTCTTGACATAGTAGTAACAGTGTGTGAAAATTTCATTAAAATCCAAGCGGTACTTTCCAAGTATCAGCGGATTTTTCAGTAAATTGTACCCCCCTATACACGCCACTGCGTACTGTTTCGGGTCTACCTCAAGCCTCAAGGATATTGTCTCTGTGTGCAGCGCTTGTACCCAAGAGTTATCTATGACTTCTCCTTTGTCCTGTGGTGGTTAAAATATTAACTGCGTTTTTTACGGAATATGGACGGTGATTTTAATATGTAGTTAATTTTTTAACGTAGATTTGGTTACGCGTGGGTAGTACAGAGTCGACCAACTGGACTAAATTTTGTTTTTCATTGAAAAACTACCTATCCATTCCAGTATCACCACTACGTTGGCAGCCGTCTTTTGACGCCAAACTATTTCCGTCGTGAATCAGTTTTAGTTTAAATTCGTATTCGTGATATTTCGCTGACGCTGTAGGACTGTGACGCGTCACGCCGGCACAGCGAAAGTATTTAAAATTAGAAATGAACCCACCGTTTGCTGGTCGGTAGGCCGAACTCTTTTTCGCACACAGTATATCGTGAAAATAGTCTTTGTAACAAATACTTAGAGTTTGGAATGCGGAGTATTTGCGTAGATCACTTCCAACGTCAGGCCTCATACTATTTGAGCTAGATACAGGGATAGATTGAAAAGTCCCAATCAGTATGTGATGTGTCAGTCAGCTTTACCAGAAATTACATGTAGAGGATACAATTGTTGTAGTCTTCCGATAATCGATAAAAAAGTGTTAGTTTTTTCCGATACAAACCGATAATTATTGGTATCATTTAAAAACTGATTTTTTACGTATATCATAGGGAAAAGGGTACTATTTATTACCTAAAATAAACCACAAGTATATTCATTATGCATTTCGAATTGAAAAGTAAGCAAAACTAAAATCAAATAAAATTAAATTTTTTGATTAATCATTCATAATCGTTACTTATTTCTGATGTTTGAGCGATGTCTGTAAATTAAGTGATGATACTGATTTCAAAAAAATATCCAAATATAATTAAAATTTTATATTGTCAAAATAACTTTCTTCTGAAGCCACATTGTGCTGGAATAGGTTCTTCCACTCCTCATAGCAGTGCTGGCACTCCGATACTGGAATATCCTTCAGTTGGTGGTGGGTTAGAGCCGTTTGAATGCTCTCGACTGTCGAAGTTCCCTTGAGGAGATTTTTCAACTTCGGGAAGAGAAAAAGCCACAAGGAATCAAGTCAGACGAATATGGAGGCTGAGGAGCCACAGGTATGTTTTACTGGGCAAAAACTCATTATTGACATTGCTGTGTGAGAAGGAGGATTATCGCGATGCAACACCAACACTATCTCCATAGGCCTGTTTAGAAAGAGCTTCCGTTGCACTGTGCCCAAGTCTGAAGCATAACCTTATGGCTCGCCCTTGCTCGAAATTGATGTGAATCTTTTTTAGAGCACAATAGGACAAACTGATTTACAAAAAAAAACCGCTACCGACAACAAAATGACTCGGGCGAGTTCAAACTTGTACCGAAGGCGGACCACATGTTCCCCTGCCCCCCTTTCAAGCCCTGCGTCGGTTTTGACAAGGCGAACGCTACGTTGCCATTCTCATCACTTAATTCATAAACCTCGTATGTAGGTAGACTAAACAAACCAGCCACTGTGATACTCCTTCCCTATCAGTTTCAGATGAAATAAAATCTTGTGAACAAATCAAATTAAAACTTAAGGACTTCTTGCTTACAATTTAGTTCAGTTTCTTCTGTGTACGTAGGTAGGAAGACAACCTTTTCATCCATACATTTAATTGTGAATAATTTTAATGGTGATTTTTATCATAAGTCATAGGGGGGAAATATATGTGTGAAATATGCCTAATAGGCGCGTAAAATTACTGGGGCAAGAAGTTTATTAATATTCTGACGTCAAAAATTGCGATACAGCCTCCACCAGTCCATTACAGGCCCCCAGTCCATTATTTTTTATCCCCAATAAATTTTCACAAGTGATCAGGATCTGAAATGTTGAAAAACGAATCAAAGTGACTTTTTTCCTGTTTTTCGAGCGATACGTTCCAAGTTATAGCAGAAAGAGAGGCAGACAGACAGACTGATGGCAATGAGCGATATGTTTTTCTGAGTTGAACATTGAAAAAGATGTCTTTCGTTCAAAATGTTTCGTGATTATGCTACTTCCTCGCCAGAGGCGTGAGAAGTAACAACTTAACTTATTATATTTGTTTTTCAGTACGCATAAACTTCGATGCCCCTGGAGTACTCCTAAGGGGATTCAATTAATTCCAGTGGTATTACGTAAATCGGAAAACATATGGTTAAACAACTAGATCAATCTAAATCGACTGTACTGCTCTATCATCTTTTTCTACTTCTGCCCTAGAATCTTTTTCAATCACTTAGGATAATAACTACAATAAGACATTTTTCAAAATGAAATACAAAACACATACAAATAATTTATTCATATAAGTAAGTTAAATCATATCACAAACGTTAGCTTAGCTAAGGTTAGCAGTAAAAACGTGTGTTCACATACTCAATCAGATGCATTTTTTCAGCTATTTACAACCAAACGAAAAGGTTAGATATAAGTTTTTGATTTACCATGGATCATAATCATAGATAAATTATCATTCCTGATTTAATGAAAATAAATACAAACTACAGGCAACTAACATGGACATATTTTTATTATTATAACAAAAATAAAAACACTTAACCATACT